GGGGGGAGTGAAATATAATCCGACAGGCTAACGAGACGCTGCCCTTTACCTGGACTACAAAGGCAGTGGGAGCAATACTCCAGCTGGACAGAGCTCAGGATCAATTCCCGCGGGATGGGGGGGTGGTACCAGGGGGCAGTAACGTCTGCTTTCCCTCAGGAAGAATACAAAAACTCATACAGCACAGTAAAACAGACCCTTTGGCCCAACTTGTCCATGCTGACCAGGTTTCCCAAACTGAATTAGTCCCATTTGCCAGCATTTGGCCCCTATCCCTCTAAACCCTTCCTATTCATGTACCCATCCCGCTGCCTTTTATATGTTATAATTGTATCAGCCTCCACCACTTCCTCTGGCAGCTCGTTCAGTACACACACCACCCTCTGCGTGAAAAAGTTGCCCCTCAGGTCCCTTTTAAATCTTTCCCCTCTCACCTTAAACCTATGCCCCTCTAGTTTGGACTCCCCGACCTTGGATATTCACCTTATATGTGCCCCCTCATGATTTTATAAACCTCTATAAGGTCACCCGCTTAACCTCCTACACTCCAGGGAGGTAAGTCCCAGCCTCTCCTTATAACAAACCCTTTAATTCCAGTAACATCCTTGTAAATCCCTTCTGCACAGTTTCCAATTTAATAACATCCTTCCCATAGCAGGAGGCCAGAACTGTATGTGGCATCCTAATAGATGCCTCACCAATGTCCTGTACAGCTGTAACATGACCCTCCCAACTCCTCTATACTCAATGCGCTGACCAAAGGCGGCCAGCGTACCAAATGCCTTGTTCACTATCCTGTCTACCTGCGACTCCAGTTCCAAGGAACTATGAACCTGCATCCGAAGTTCTCTTTGTTCAGCAACACTCCCCAGGACCTTACCATTAAGTGTACAAGTCCTGCCCTGATTTGCCTTTCCAAAATGCAGCACCTCACATTGATCTAAATTAAACTCCATCTGATCAACATATCAGCCGCAGAAAGAGGTGGGGGTGGAGGGCAAATTCACCACAGTGATCCCCAAAGGCTCAACGGGTTAAATTCTAAGGGCCAGGTCACACAGACTCGGTTTGTACTCCCTCGAGCGGAGCGGGGTTTGATGGAGGGTGGATACTGAGCAGCCGTGATCCAACTCAATGGCAGGGAACGGGCTCAAGGGACCGAGTGGTCACCTCAGGTTCCTGTTAAATCATTTCTGAAGGTCCAATGCTGGGAAACGGATTGCTCAGACCCACGATAGCCCACAGAACCTCACTCCAAGTGGATACTGCCCTGATATGTGCCCACAGTCAGGCCCTTCCTTAGTCCAAGTCCACATGGACAAACAGGTCCCCAACAGATCCAAAGGACCCCCCGGCCCAGGTGCACTGGCATTCCTTTTGAGACTTAGACATCCTTGGGACGCCTCGTGGCACTCGTCACAGACAAGGAAGCACGTTTTCTGAAGTTGTAACAGAAGGAACATGATAGGCAACTTTGTACAGGGTCTGAAAAGCAGCAATTGGTTCCACTGGATGTGGGATAGACATCTGCCACTTGGCTGGTGCTCCCTCGGCGCCGACCCTCCGACAGCGCCCGCTCCCTCGGCGCCGACCCTCCGACAGCGCCGACCCTCAGATTATGGCAGGAGGAATGCTGGCCTGGGTGGCAGAGTTTGAGATTCTGGGCAGAGGATTGACACCCACGATGCCCTGACCCAGGACCAGAGAAAGAGGGAGATTCGCTGCAGCGCTGCCACAAGAACAGTTGCTCCTTCAGTCTGAACCCACAAACTAAGCTGGTCGCTCCTTGTTCTGGTCAGCGCCAGAAGGTTCGCTGCATTCCTGGGGTGAACCCCCTTTGGAGCCAAGCCTGGTCACACCCAAGGGGTTAGCATCAACACCGTTGGGGCCAAACAGCCTCTTTCTGTGCCAGTGCACACAGTCTGTGCCATACCAAGGGAGTGCCACACTAGCAGATGTGACACATGGGCACTCAGGAAGCCTATCTTTCAAAGGTCACTTTTTAAAGACAATGCACAGGAGTTTTCTTTTTGTTAGTTTGGTCATCTTGTGAAAGGAAATGGGAGTTTGAGTTCCCAAGCCCCCCTGCCCGACAGATTGCAGGTCACAGCTATTATTGGCTGTGTTTGAACCCCCTCTCTGAGCGCCTGGGAGTCCTCGA